ATATATATATATATATATATATATATATATATATATATATATATATATATATATATATATATATATATATATATATATATATATATATACACACAAACAGACAAACTAAATATTGCAATGTCAGAATATCATGCAGCCCAAATTTTAATTATTCAGAAGGTGGGATTATGCAAATGAGTCACTTTTATCATGCTGATGTTAATAGTTGGTAGCAGTAAAGAAAAAGGAGACATAACAAATCAAGAGTCACAATTTTTAGAAACAATATATTTATTTATCATGCACTCTCTTTATGACCAACTTTTGCAGCTAAAGGACGGCTATATTAAAAACTGCAGTTAGGATATTTTTCGAAACCCTTATGACCTTCTCTTTAATCATAAAAACAAAACAAAAGAAGTTCTGTTAATGGTTTGCACTGAAATCAAGCTCCAAGGGTTTCATCATGAATGCGAGTGGTTGATCACAAGCGTTTGGCATTTTACCAGGAGGAATCCAGTGGAAATAGTTCCCAAGCCTCGTATGAAAGCATCTTTCATTGAGTTTTTCTTCTTAGAGACTGCTGACAGACAAAAGCAGGGAGCGTCCACATGTTCCCCATGACCATAATTCATTATTAACAGGTCGAAAGGCATGTTGGCACGTAACCAGCGTCTTTACAACTGGCGCAGAATGGAGAGAACAGCATGTAGTCAACAACTGGAAGTGACAGGGATTTATATAACATAGTTGTTTTTTTTTTTTTTTTAGGTCGGAAGATTGTGAATTATTATTAAATATCAGATGTGGATGTGAGGAAGAAACAATAGTCGCTTGTGTTTAATCTGGAATGCCAAATTCAATGAAAGTGGAAAGGGTGCCGATAAACTTTATGACGTTTATGTTAGATAAACAGCATTTGAGCAATTCTAGAAACTTGCTGTAAAAACTTAACAGAGAAAGTATACACTCACCGGCCACTTTATTAGGTACATCTTACTAGTACTGGGTTGGACCTCTTTTGCTTTCAGAACTGCCGTAATCCTTTGTGCCATAGATTCAACAAGATACGGGAAATATTCCTCAGAGATTTTGCTCCATATTGACATGATAGCATCACACAGTTGCTGCAGATTTGTCTGCTGCACATAATTGATGTCAATCTCTTGTTCCACCACATCCCAAAGGTGTTCTATTAGATTGAGTTCTGGTGACTGTGGAGGCCATTTGAGTAGAGTGAACTCATTGTCATGTTCAAGACACCAGTCTGAGATGATTCACGCTTTATGACATGGTGTGTTATCCTGCTGGAAGTAGCCATCAGAAGATGGAGACACTGTGCTCATAAAGGGATGGACATGGTCAGCAGCAATACTCAGGTAGGCTGTGGCGTTGACACGATGCTCAATTGGTACTAATGGACCCAAAGTGTGCCAAGAAAATATCCCCAACATCATTACACCACCAGCAGCACCAGCCTGAACTGTTGATACAAGGCAGGATGGATCCATGCTTTCATGTTGTTGACGCCAAATTCTGACCCGACCATCCGAATGTGTCAGCAGAAATGGAGACTCATCAGAGCAGGCAACGTTTCTCCAATCTTCTATTGTCCAGTTTTGGTGAGTCTGTGTGAATTGTAGCCTCAGTTTCCTGTTCTTAGCTGACAGGAGCGGCACCCGGTGTGCTCTTCTGCTGCTGTAGCCCATCTGCCTCAAGGTTGGACGTGTTGTGTGTTCAGAGATGCAGAAGAAGGGGACACTATACTGTCAGTGGGCGCCATCTTTCGGATGAGATGTTAAATTAAGGCCCTGACTCTCAGCGATTTTTTAAATTCCCATGGCACTTCTGGTAAAGAGTAGGTGTGTAACCCTGGTGTCCTGGCCAAATTCCCTGCATCGGCCCTTATCTATCATGGCCATAATCCCCATCCACTGAATTGGCTCTATCACTGTCTCTCCACTCCATCTAGAGCTGGAGTGTGTTAAGCGCACTGGCGTCATAGTCCTGTGGCTGCCGTCGCATCATCCAAGTAGATGTTGCGAACAGGTGGTGGTGTGGATAGACCCCCCCTCATGATTGTGAAGCGCTTTGGGTGTATGACCATACACAATAAATGAGCTATATAAATACACACATTACATTACATAAATTTCTACTTACAACCTTAAAAACAAGACAAAGGTGCCACTAAAAATATTGGGTGATTGGAATTGGGCTGTGATAAACAATATAGATGAATTAAATTGCTATACATATCCAAAGTTTAGAACTTGAATCCCATGCAGTGAAATTAGCATAACATTTAAGCATCAAGAGCCTAAAAACAACACCGTCCACAAAAATCACTGAGAGCTATAATTAGAGTTGGGTTAGAGAGAAGGATGTGTGTTTACACTGATATACATGCTGTTTTCCCCACAGTTCTCCTTCTGCCAGCTTCACTCCCACACTCCGACTCATGTGCACACACACACACACACACACATACATACATACACACACACACATATATATATATATATATATATATATATATATATATATATATGTGTGTGTGTGTGTGTGTGTGTGTGTGTGTGTGTGTGTGTGTGTGCGCGCGTGCGT